CTCTCTGTCTCTCAATAATAAATAAACATTTAAAAAAAATTAAATATGAAACATTCCCACCAAGATCCCCATCACCCTATTGATAGAGCTATTTGGGGACCACAAAAGTCTGGCTTTTATCCCAGTGTTGAAAGAAAGGGATACTCTATAGGAGTATCTCCTATAGAAAAACCTGCAGCAAAGAGGGGAATATGATTCCATGTAGAAATAAATGTGTATCTAAAGTGAGTTGATTTATTGGGCTTTTTCTCATTTGTCAGCTACCACCATGCAATCGAAGCGGAAAGGCCACTTCTCTCGGTGCCCCAAGCAATACAAGCACTACTGCATCAAAGGGAGATGTCGCTTCGTGGTGGCCGAGCAGACGCCCTCCTGCGTGTAAGTGGACCCCTGAGCCAGCAGGCAGAGGGCTGCAGAGCAGTGCTGGCCGTGGACTTGACAGGGCTGGGAAGTCTGAGCTAACCGAGTCCTCTGTGTCAGGACACAGCTCCCCTGGTCCTGCCCTCGGCCATTTGTTTAGGGACCCTTTCTGCAGCCACTTATGGAGAAACTGACACACACTTTCCTTCTGAAATAGGAGCCTGCGAGAGCCCAGATCGGCTCCCAGGCTGTGTCCTCTGCTGCCTTACGCAAGCAAGCAGAACTTTCTGTCCAGTGTTAAGGATGCTTTTCAGCTCCATTCATCTCCCAGGTGGTTCGAATGGAAGCAAATTCTTCTGGAACGTGTTAGGTGGTTTGCAGTTAATGTAAATATGAAGGATTTTCTGCCAAATTAAAAGTTACTTTTGCAGGTGTCAATTAAGTACAAGGAAATTAGTCCTGCTTCTAAGCAGAGATTTATTTGCAAAGCCTGTTTATTACAGAAGGGAATTGGAAGAAAAGTGCTCTTTCTGCTTCTTAGTAGACTGATTCCAAGTTTAGTTTTTATTCAGGCACAAACAACTTTTTTTGCACTTACAAAATATTTATTTTCTTCTAAAGAGATATCTTTCTAGGATATCTAAAGAGATATCTAGGTGCTCTCTGAGACCTTTTCTGAAAGATGAGCAAGATGATTGTTTAAGTATAATTTTGACCTAAAGTTTGTAGAATGTTTATGTTTTTATGTGTCGTTCCCTCGGTATACATTTTTTTTTCATAAGTGTCTCAAAACAGTGATTCGGAACCCTGATTTAGTGGAACATTTAAGGGTCATGGACTTCATAAAAATTTAATTATAATTAAATTAAATTTAAAAATAAATATACTGGATAATACTTTGAGGGGATAAGAATTGCTAATGTAAGGAAATAGGGAAATGTGTGTGTGTGTGTATGCTGCGTGTTGGGAAAGAATAGAGTTTTTTTTTTTTTTTTTAATTTCCTCTAATTGCTCACTGGCTTAGAAGAATATATTGCGTTTTGAAAATATTAATGCCCTTTAACCCAGTACATTTATCTAACTTGTCCCTACGTCTGCAGATTTATTGTCCTTTAATCCTGCTGCCTTCTAAAATGAAAACCGCAATATATAATCTCCCTGCCTAAGATCGATACACAGCTTGTCCCCTTCAGTGTGAGGCTAAAACTCATTTCCATGGTCTCCACAGCTCCTCTGATTCCGGCTTACCTTTCTAGCCACATCTCTCACCATATTCCCAGCTGTTCCTCTGAAATCCCACATCCCTTTCCACGGTTTATCACACAAGCTCTGCTAGTCTGGAAAGCTTATTCGCACTGATGTTTTGGATGCAGCTCAGACCTCAGCTCCTCCTGGATCCCTGCACTGACTTCCCTCTTCTCGGACACACACTCATGTGTGTTAGACGTCCTGTCTCTGAGATCTAGTCTCCCTTCCATGAAGGCTCTTTTCCTCTGGAGCATAGCTGTTGGTCCCTGTGAGTGTCCCTTCCGTGTCTGCGAGCACCCAGAGGCGGGTCTCGGGGCGTATTCGTTTTTGTGTCCCAGGGCCAAGCGCAGTGTCACAATGTTAATAGGTGCTCAGGAAATGAGTGGCGAATAAATGAAGAAGTCCCTCTAGCATGGTGCATCGAATGCTATGCTGACAACACCAAGGCCTTACTCTGAGCCAGGAACAGCTTCTTCGTGGTAAAATGGTGCAGAAGCAACAGCAAGCAGAAGAGCAGAGAAGCCAGCACACAGATTTTGAAGCCAGGTAGACCCAAGTTAAGGTTTTGTTTGTACCAAAAGAACTGCTAACAACAGGTCAGTTACCCTTCCCGAGCCTCAGTTTTATCATCTGTAAAAGGGGGTAATAATATCTCCCTCTCAAGTGTTGAAAATAAAGCAGGAGAATTCATTAAGCAAAAATACTTTCTGTCATACCCAGCACAGAGTAAGTGTTCCATACATTGTCCTGCTGACGAGCGGGGTGTATGTGACCTGGGCCTGACCTTTTAGGTGACTGGTCATAGCACAGGTTCGGGCATAGCTGTGTTGCCATTGGTGACTCTGCCAGCTTGGAAAAGCACAAGTATCTCCTTTTGCTTGGAATTACAGGAGTGTGTGGACTCCTGCTTTTACATTAAAAAAAAAAAAAAGTGTGCATCTCAAATAACTCAAATCCCCTTAGTCTTCTTAGTAGTTTCTTGGAATGGGAATGATTTCTTTCCAGATACGTATCTTCATGTATCTATGTGGTACAGTTCATTTAAGCAGTATTTCATGTGCTTGGGGCATCAACTTGAGAGTCAAACAGCTTGAATCTGAATTTCTCTATGCTCTCAGTTTCTCCACCTTCCAAATGGGTTAATAATGACACCTACCTCAGAGGTTGTTGTAAGGATCAATTGACTTAATAGTTACAAATCCCTTACAACCGTGTCTGGTGATTATTTCAGGACAGTGATCCTAACTCTGATTTTTCAGAATCCTGAAGGGTCGTGGGTGTCTTTAAAAGTGATTTTAAATGCTTTAAGATGTTTACTAGGGGCGCCTGGGTGGCTCAGTCGGTTGAGCGTCCGACTTCGGCTCAGGTCATGATCTCACAGTCTGTGAGTTCGAGCCCCATATCGAGCTCTGTGCTGATGGCTCAGAGCCTGGAGCCTGCTTCCGATTCTGTGTCTCCCTCTCTCTCTGCCCCTTCCCTGCTCATGCTCTGTCTCTCTCTGTCTCAAAAATAAATAAAAACATTAAGAAAAAAAAAAGATGTTTACTAAATAAAAACTGATGTATTCAGCTACTCAGCATTTCATAAACATCTGCTAGTATCTTGTACTCTTTGCCTCTTCTTTCCCCATTGAAATGACCATTAGCTGACATGTTATTGGTTTGATGAGAAGTGAGGTAACATGAGAGCCACGGTAACTGCCTGTGCAAAGGCTGGCCTTCTGGCCTGGCCTCATTGGGTTATGGCTTTTGCAGGAAATCCTGCTTACTGAGAAATTCAATTAAAGCACGGCTACACCACTGAACCCAGAGCCATAATAATAATTAAAAAAAAAAAAAAAGACAAAAAACATTCTAAAAGAGCAGCAAGTCATTTCTGTGTATTTTATGGGCAAATTTATTGTTTAAAAATGCCAGATTTAGTGAATGTGTTAGAGAAACCCTTAAGCTAATTGGAAGAGACTCTATATATTTGTAAGATTTTCATTATGACCTTAAAAAAAAACAAAACTCTTTAAAAAAAAAAATCTCCTCTCCCTCCCACACACGCAATAAAAAGTGATTCCCCCCACGAGTTCCAGTTCTATGTGCAAGAGATTTTTGATGTTTCAAGACCTTTCTAAGCTCTCTTCCTGTTATTTTGACCTTGCCAGGGAGGAATTTTCCTCACATACGCGGGGGTTTTCTTGCAATAGACGCCATCAGGTATCGTTTCTCTACAGCTTGAACTGATCGTCACCTTTCTATATGGATGTGACCAAGCCAGATGTTTCTTCGTGCTGTTGTCTCAAGCATTATATCAGCGATAATGTCGGCATTATGGGATCTCCTTCCCTGTGCAGAATAGGCTTTGTGGGAATTGACTGCACTGCTCTTGTCAAACACGAACCAGAAAACGATCTGGCAGTAGTAGATCCTTTCTTGCAAAAACAAACGAAAAAAAAAAAGAGAACAAAATAAAACAATAACTAAATAAATAAACAACCGAGGTAACACAGAAATCTTTTTAAGAAGCAGAATTTCATCTTTTGGGGATTTAAGCAATTATGTATATGACCACTATCTCTTTTGTTTTGAATGAGTCTGAGGAGAAAAAAGGGAAGATACTTGTTAATGCAAAGGTACTGATGTTACAACATAGGATTTCAGTTTTGCAGCGTCCTCAAACTTCTTACGTGCCTTTTAAGCGTCTAATGGGATTCAGAGAATACTGTGGATAGTCCCCAAATCACTGAGCCTTTAGCTGAGTGTTGCTCAGACAAGCCTTGGCTTGGACAAAGGGAATCTGCAGGGTTGGGGTAAATCCTAAGGCTGTATTGATAAAACGTTGAGAGATTGAGGAGAGTGAAAGTCACTCTTGGAGATTCCTTGACTTGTGGCCACTGCGCTTTATGAGGGCCGCAGAGAAAGGGGCCATTTACAGGACAGTGGCGGGAACGGTATGCACGTCTGAAAATGGGTCTTGAGCATCAAATAAAGGAGCTGGAGAGGACAAGACCTATTGTATTTTGGGGGGGTTTTAGTTGGAGGGGTGAAGAGCATCACGTAATCTGTGGCCACTGTGAGCAGAAGAATCAGAACTGGTGGGTGGCAGTTAAGAGAGAGAAAGGAATCCTGTGGAAAAACATTTACGGAGCTTTCTATGTAGTTCATAGGCTATCGGTCTATGAACTTTCACACGTTACCGCGTGTGATCACATGAAACAGTATAATTTCTAACAGTTTGGAGCAGGAGGACTTGGGCACATTGACTGCCCTCCAATGACATGGGCGGTCGTGGGGATTTTGAGTTCCTTGTCATGGCGGTATTTAAGCGCTTGGGGGGCACCACGGAGGGATTTTTGCCATCTCCTCTCTTTCCAACTCAGAACCTAAAATTTTAAAGTAAGTTTTAGTAAATTGTGATTGCCTCTGTTTATTTAAATTAGCCATGTTGCGAATGTTCAAGTGATGACAGGCTTTCAGCGAAGCAAAGAAAGTGAAATTACTTGTGAACACAGCGGTATCCAGCTTTATTTGAAAAAAAAAAAAATTTTTTTAAAGGAACTGAGCCCTTTATTAATTCCAGTAAATGACAACAGTGTTAGTTCCTTCAAAAAAAGAAATAGTAGAGGTTCTTAAAAGTCTTGCACGGTTTCCCTTGTTGTTTTATTTTCACAGCTGTGATGAAGGCTACACTGGGGCAAGATGTGAGCGAGTTGACTTGTTTTACCTCAGAGGAGATAGAGGGCAGATTTTGGTGATTTGTCTGATAGTAGTTATGGTGATTTTTATCATCTTGGTGGTCGGTGTCTGCACATGCTGTCAGTAAGTATTTTTTTTTTTT